ATGTATTTTCTACTATTTTTTATTAGGAATAATTGTGGGTGTTCAATTCGTGTTTGTGAACTTTATCTTAACAAAATTGAGAAAATAAACGTGTTTACTGCAGCGTCTTGCCCAAATATTTGAGAGCACTTTATAATATCAAATTGCCGCGACACCTTCATTGCCTTCAGCATGTGATGTGCTTTTCCATATATATATATATATATATATATATATATATATATATATATATATATATATATATTCGGGACTTTGAAAGCTATCATTGGATTTGCTACCATTGAAATGATGGCCTAAGCCACAAAACACGGTCGAGTTATTTTTCGTGTCGTTTTGACAAATTTTTCGAAAGTGTGCTGTCCATTGATACATGTGTTAGGGTATATTTTACCGATGTCCCAGTTGATTTGGACCCCCGTAGATTTGGACCCCCGGTCCATATCCACTAGTAGATATGGACCCCCTGGTCCAAATCTCCTAGCAGATATGGACCCCGGGGGGTCCAAATCTACTAGTAAATACGGACCCCCGTTGGCGGATTTGGACCCCCCTTCAAAAGTTAAATATATGTTATGTGAACACAATAATATAAACCAAATTAATAATAGCGATCAATCTGAAGTATTTTATCATAGGAAAATAGAATACAGTGTGACTAAAATCTATGTATAGTATTTGCCAATAACGAATCACTGTTTAACAAAAGCGATAGAAATGGCATTTGGATCGACACGAAACACGATTTTCATGAATGTTTTTGAACAATCAAAGTGGTGGTGACTCATCTAAATGGAAGCCTGTGACCATCCACCAATGATTTTTAACAAAAACCATAGAAATAGCATATTAGAGCAACGCCATTCCATGAATATTTTTAAACAATAAGTGATGTTTGTGAGTCTTTGCTAATGGGCTTTTTAGTAACAAAAGCCATAGAAATAGCATATTAGAGCAACGCGATCCATGAATATTTTTAAACAATAAGTGATGACTTATCAGTTGCCTTGCAGCTATATAAATGTTTTAGTGTCATTCGCGATTTCAATGCGAATAGAACTATAATCTCTGTTTAACGCAAAATGGCTGCGTACGAAGAAGTATTTCATTATCTTCGCGACAACGAGTACCCCAATTCTTACAACAAAGACCAGAAGAGGAACACCGTTATTGGGGTTGTTTTTAGTATATAGTAAACAAAATTGATTACCCAACCTCAAATATCAATTAAAAAATAAATACCCACCCCTGGCCAAAAAATTTACAAAAGGTACTATTCAGTTGTCACATATGTCCTTTACCACTTCTGTGACATAAGTTTGATAATGGATTGTGAAATTTTCTGCACTCTGAAGTTTCATGTTGTCTGCACATGTAGCTACTTTCTTTGGAGATCCCATCGGAAATTGATCAAGATAATTACTCTGATTGATATATACTTTTTGTTGTTTCTTTACACATTTAGTAAATCTTAGTATAACACCAAGTTCATCAATTGCTGCTATTTTGCTAGCAAATCCATGTATAATAAACCCGGGTGTTTTGCAATCAAAAGTGATGCAACCTGGATAGTGGAATAAGTTGATTACTGTAGGCACAATTTTTGGCCACTTAATAGTCAAAGGTCATGCATAAATAAGAACAGTCTTTAATATTACCGCCTTACGGAGACTTTATATTGAGGATGGCTAAATGGCGTGGGTGGGTGGGTCGTGCGTCGTGCGTCGTGGGTCGTGCGTCGTGGGTCGTGCGTCGTGGGTCGTGCGTCGTGGGTACGGTGTTGGGCGTCGTATAGACAATGAAAATATTTTTTTTAAAACGGATAGAGGGCAGACGGACAGACGGATGGATGAGAGGGTAAAAATGGACGGATGAGAGGGTAAAATGCGAACGGACGGCAGGAGGGTAAAATGCGGATATGAAGGCATATAGAGTGGTGTATTTGTATTTTTCATGTAGACTAAAATCCCAACCTTTGCAACTTTCATGCTTATTTTTCTTTGTTATCCGGTGTGTAGTAATTTAATTTTATGCCACTATAATGTGCTGTTTTTCAAGGGCTTCTAGTGCAGTTATCGGTCCTAAAAGTAACACTCCCGTTGAGATATGACAATTTCAGTACGGCCTACTTTTATATAACGCAAACGCGAATTACAATGGCAACATTTATGCTTAATTTTCTCTGTTATCTGTGCATGTAGTAATCCTATTTTATGCTAGTACAATGTGCTGTTTTTCCAGGGCTTTTCAATGCTGTTATCGGTTTAAATATACCTAAAATGCCCGTTGAGATATGACAATTTCAGTACGGCCTACTTTTACGCAAACGCGAATTACAATGGCAACATTCATGCTTAAATTTCTCTGTTATCTGTGCATGTATATAGTAACCCAATTTTATGCTACTATAATGTGCTGTTTTTCCAGGGCTTTTCAATGCAGTTATCGGATTAAATATACCTAAAATGCCCGTTGAGATATGACAATTTCAGTACGGACTACTTTTACGCAAACGCGAATAACAATGGCAACATTCATGCTTAATTTTCTCTGTTATCTGTGCATGTAGTAATCCAATTTTATGCTATCATAATGTGCTGTTTTCAAGCGCTTTTCAATGCAGTTATCGCCTAAATTTACCTAAAATTCCCGTTGAGATATGCGACAATTTCCGTATATATATACGGCCTACTTTTACCGCAAACGCGACTGCAATTGCCACTTTCATGATTTCCTCTGTTAAGACTGTTATCCAGTCGTGTTGTAATCTAATTTTATGCCATGAGTGTAATGTGCTATTTTTGAAGCAAGGCATTTTGTAATACTGTGGACTGGTGGGGCATTTGCCCCACTGGGCCCCTTCCTCTGCCCCGCAACTGAAAAAAATGGCCTATTGCCCCAAAGCCAGGTCCCTAGGACTTGTATGCATGAGTAAATGAGTTTAACATTGAAAAAAAGTTTAAAAAACTAAATTGTTGGTGCAGCATACTAGTAACTGAACTTATGTTGTGTTTGAACTGAACTTATGTTGTATTTGAATGTTTATATAGCATGCAATTTATTACAAATTTCACCTGATTAAAACGTTTTTAAAAAATGTGTCCTTAGAATGCACGAAATGCTATTTCAGAGACCCAAATTTTAAAACCATCCCTAGCTAACTCGAGCCTACGGTACTCGGCTCACACCTTCGGCGATCGTACACTATCCTGCATGGGGGAGGACAAGGAGAGAATGGGCCCATATGCAATTTTGCCCCACCCTGACTGAAGAATCCTTAAAAAATGTACTGTTTTGAAGGACTTTTCAATGCAGTTATCCGTTTAAATACCTAAAGTTTTGACGAGCTAGTATACCGCCCAGATAACAGACAAAATTAAGCATGAAAGTTGCAATTGTAATTCACGTTTGCGTAAAAGTAGGCCGTACGGTTTTCAAAAAAATGGAGCGACTCAGTTTTCAAAAAAATGGAAAATTCACCATTTAGATCGGTATTTTAATAAATTGTCAAAATAATTGAGTATACTAAAAGAAATCATTTTATGAAATAAAAATTGGGAGTAGGCTGTTGCGGTATTTGAAAAAAAACGAAAACCGATACCGGAAAAAAAATACCGATAATACCGATATCTTTTCGCGATTGGATTTTGCTTAATATTATGCAAAAATTTGCTTAATTTTATGCAAAATTTTCTGTTTTCAAATGCTGCCAAACAGCCACGATATAATAGCTTTGACTTATCGGGTTCGTGATATTTTCAATAAAGTGTGAGGCCAGTGATCAGTAGCCTGTGATGTGTCCGCTTTAGGGACCGGCCATTATTTATGGTGGGGGGTGGCATCGAAGAGAAATGATTTTCGTGGCAAACATTTTGCTGACCCAACCATTAAAAAGTCAAAAATTTGATTACCCAACCTCAAGTATCAATTAAAAAATAAATAACAACCCCTGGCCAAAAACTTTACAAAGGAATACCATTCAGTTGTCACACATGTCCTTTCTGTGACACAAGTTTGATAACTAAACTTTCATGTTGTATGTACATGTACTTTCTTTGGAGACACCATTTGTCTCACAACAAATCGAATATGATCAAAATAGTGACTCTGATTGGATTGATTCACATATTGTATTGACATACGACTGCTGACATTGCTTTTCAGTCTCCAATATTTAAGTGAGTCATGCTTTGGAAATGACAATAACTTTTTATTACCCAACCCTTGAGTTGTTTTGTTTTTCATTTACCCAACCTTTTAGTTACTCAAAATTTAGTTTACCCAACCCTTTTCTCTTCGGTGCCACCCCCCGCCATAAATAATGACCAGTCCCTTAGACGGTCTCAACGTATACAGGAACGTAGCAACACCGCAAAACTTTAATTAAGTAATGTACATATGTAATTTTAATCTCAGTATTCTGAAGAAGGCTTTGAAGTACCGAGTCGAAAGCTCAATAAAAGTATATTTCAATCCGGAGAACTTTAATTAATTATAATATGCCTGGATTACAAATCTTTAAATATATATATATATATATATATATATATATATATATATATATATATATATATATATATATATATATATATATATATATATATATATATATTAAAAATAAGCGTGTTATATAACATACTTATTTTGTCCAGAAATTAGCACGGGTTATATAACACACTATAGTGTGTTATATAACACACCCTAGGGTGTGTTTTTGGCTTGTCCAAAAATCAACACGCTTTACGTGTGTTATTGAAAAATGTGTGTTATTTAGCACACAACAGTGGGTTTAAAAACACACAACAGTGTGTTATTGTTAAGTGTGTTATCTAAAAAAGTGTGTTATTTAGCACATATAATAATGGATTGCTAAAACACACTTTTATGTGTGCTAAACAACACACACACATACTGTACCAGTGTTTCTAAACAGTAAATCCACAACAGAAACACACTTTTAAATGTGTTACAGAATTTCAGATAAAAGAAATGAAATTTTAATACTGGAATCGTGCATACACTTTATTACATGTACTTTAACATATTTACAAATATGAATGGAAAATCTGGTTTGATCTTTAATCAAAATGCGAAAAATTTGATCTTTAATCAAAATGCGGCCTATAGGCTATATATAATCTATACAGCTATTTCAATTAAGGTTGTCCCCGACCAAAGAGGAAAAGTCGAACACAAGCGCGAAAGCTAGTGCGAATCCCAGCAGCCTTTCGCGCTCGTATTCGACTTTTCCAAATTCCGCTTTGCTCGGGGACAACCTTAATCCGTGGTGTAGCCGTGGAATGTTAACAAGGGGGGCTCTCCAACAGCGGGCGAAACTTCAGTATTACGGCTGGGGGGGGTGAGCTTGTTTTGCTCAACCGAAAGAGCCTTTCTGAAGTCGTTCCTGAGAGACGAACAATTGACCAGTCGCTAATTAATATTTCTTCTCCCAAAATAGTTGGTGAGCGGAGTATTTTTCACTACCACTTTTCCCTACCACTATTACTTTTCAATCTGAGACACTCGAATATTTTCGAAATTTGCCCGACTAAATTGTATGGGTATAACTGATGGGATAGATGGGTAGTAGATGGGTAGATGGGTAGTAGATGGGATAGATGGGTAGGGTAGTTTCGTCCCTGTTCTCCGAAAGTGTCCTGAACTGGCAAGGGGGGGGGGGAGGTGTTTACAATATGATACAGTATTTTGGAAATTCTAAATTATTTGGGGTTTTTTTCTAATAATTGTGGGACAAACATTTAAAATTATGCTTATTAAAAACAATTGCCGTTAGTAATATAAAATATTCTAAGCATCTCAAAAGAGTATGTAATTCAAGGTTTCTCTACCACTTTTTGTAGATGCAATTCTAAAGAACATTCTCGTTTAAGATTATTCAAAAATTATAGGGCGGGGGCTCACCCCCCCCCCCCCAAGTTAACATGAAATTTTAACAGGGGGCTGAGCCCCTCTCCACTACACTACTGAAATGAATTGAAATAGCTGTGTATACTATGGTACGCAAAGTTTGCCAAAAGTTTGGCCCTATCAAAATGTAGAATATTCCAATATTCACAATATTGGTTGAATAATAAAACAGGTCAAGTAAAGTTTCTTTGGATTTTTCGCTACTCATAAATATTGTACAAAGCAAAAGTAACTCTATGCAACGATATCATTAATCACTACCTACACTGACACTGCTTACACAATTTCCACACTGTCCTAGAATGTGAATATATTATTTGTTCATTTAACCTTCAATCACAATCAGTTCCTCCTTCGGAAAATCTTTCCTCCGTAAATGTCAATTATAAAGGCATTCAGGGTCATCCATTAATTTTCTTGCATTACAAGGTTTGTGTCTACTGGAGACATATGATGTAAGATTGAAGAAAATTCCATGAGTACCAGGATACTGTAGGATTGTGAGGATCTGTGCACATCTATCTAGCAAAGGATACAAAACAGCAAATGTATTACAGTAATTAATGTATTAAGAAAAAAAACAATGGTTAAGTATATCCTACTCACATGAGACATGTATGGAAAAGCAGAACATATTTGCCAATATTGGAATGAATCTTGGGTGGATGCATTATTAAGGGTGGTGAATGCATTATTATAGGGCATTCTCCTCCGGAAAATGTTTGGAATTTGAAGTCATGAATGCCATTTCCTGCATTCTGAGCAATTAACATCGATCTATATTTATTAAATTTGTCCTCAACAATTAGGAAAGTAAACCTTACACTCTCTCCCTCAAAATAAAATTGTCTGGTGTCAGACAGAGTTAAATAATAAAGAGTGCATCAGGGAGCATTGCCAAGGATGTGCAAAGCGACGCTACCTACATGTACAGTATAATCAAAACACTGACAATTTCATATGGTTTATAAATACTCGGCATTAGCCCTTTGTGTTAACCCCATTATAAGGTGCACTGCATGCCCATGCATCCTACTTTATTATTTTAATCTGCCTACTGCAAGATGATTTTACAGGTACTTGTCAAGGAACGATTTTTGTCCATTAATGGGTTAACTGGAGCATCTGTCAGTGTGTTCAGATAGCTAGGTTATTGTAGTCCTTTAACTCTTTAAGTAGCATAATGATTGTACCCTTTCAGTGTTATTTTATTCTACAAGACGAGACTGCTGGAACTTGATAGTGGCATTGTGCTAAGTGGACCCTACTTGTTATTTTACATGTACCCTGTCTCAAAGCAAATCATCTCAAACCAAATCAAGGGTGAGAGTTGACAATTAATGGGTTGATGTGTCAAATCAGCCATCCATCTAGAGAGAAGTGTCATGAATTTGGTTCAACAGTAAATTCGACAAATAAACAACTCCACAAAAAATTAAATTAGTGGAGAAAATTCAGCTTGTAAGGGGAAGCATACTTATATCGACAATAGTTAGCGAATGACATGACATTAACCCTTTAATTGGCAATGTACCCTACTTTATTACTTTACTCTGTCTAATACCACATTATTTTACTCTGTCTAACGCCAGATGATTTTACTCGTCAGGGGAGAGTGCTGCCACTCAATCTGCCATCTCAGTGATCTCACCTTAATACTACATGTAGCAATTAATCTACTTGATTACTTCAAAAGCAGTATTTAACAGGGAAGCCAGTGACACGTACATCAACAAATTAAAATCAATGGTACAAACGACAGTCCAATTGCATTTTGCCATTGAAAAATCATATTGATACATCACCATTTCAAGAAAGAAAAATTACTTCATTGTAGTGTCAAATGAGCCATTTGTCCAGGACGGTTAAGAGATGTGCCATCTCACCTTAACACTACATGTAGCAATTAATTTACTTTAAAATGAGTACAGTATCTAACAGAGAAGCCATTGAGCAAGTGTCCTTTAACTATATAATTAATCTTATTAGAATGTTAGGGTTTGTAATCCAAGTGATAATATACATTTTAAGACCTGACCAGGAACGACTGCGAAAAATGCAACACAAGGTCCTCTGGTAGGAATTGAACCTACGGCCCTGCGATTCCGGTGCAGCGCTCTAACCAACTGAGCTACAGAGGCCAGCTGTTGAGCTGTAACCGCAAGTTCACGTATATATATAGGTAATCGGGTGTGCGGGTTGTGATAAGGTGGACTTGAATGATGTGGTTATATACAGGGTGTATCAAAAAAAACTGAACAGATTTGAAATTGCTCTCAATTTCGCAAAACACCTATTTGTAGCCGGTTTTTTATATATATAGCTTCTTTGGGTACTTATAATGTAGAATAATGAAAAAAATTTCTCGAACTGAAATTTTGTGAACCAGGGGGGTGTGTCTTTTCCAACAAACTAAAAATGGCTCGCGCACAAAATTTAAAAGTTGTAATCATATTTTGAGTTAATAGATGGAAAATTTGTCGGGTTTTTAATTACTGTACAAAATTTCAGACAATTTGGTTTCGTTTAAGCCCTTTAACTATTCACGCAAAGTTACATCTTTTCCTAAAAATCAGTTATTTGCATGCTTAATTAATGCCATTGCCTAATTTGCATATGTCAGCAATATGCAAATTAGGTAAATGCATTAATTAAGCATGCGAAAGGCTAATTTTTTAGAATAAAATGAATAGTTATAGGGCTTAAACTAAACCAAATTGTCACAAACAGTAATTAAAAACCCGACAAATTTTCCATCTATGAACTCAAAATATGATTACAACTTTTAAATTTTGTGCGCGAGGCATTTTTAGTTTGTTGGAAAAGACACACCCCCCTGGTTCACAAAATTTCAGTTCGAGAAATTTTTTTCATTATTCTACATTATAAGTACCCAAAGAAACTATATATATAAAAAACTGGATACAAATAGGTGTTTTGCGAAATTGAGAGCAATTTCAGATCTGTTCAGTTTTTTTTGATACACCCTGTATAATTAATCACTGGTGAAGTCCAATTGCATTTTGCCATACATTGAAAAATCATATCAATACATTGCCATTTCAAGAAGGAAAAATTACTTCATTGTAGTGAAATCTGTGTCAAATGTGCCATTTGTCCAGGACGGATAAGAGATGTGCCATCTCACCCTAACACTATCCATGTAGCAAATAATCTACTTTAAAATGAGTACAGTATCTAACAGGGAAGCCATTGACCAAGTGTCCTTTAACTATATAATTAATCACTGGCGAAGTCCAATTGCATTTTGCCATTGAAAAATCATATCGATACATCGCCATTTCAAAAAAGAAAAATTACTTCATTATAGTGCTACCTGTGTCAAATGTGCCATTTGTCCAGGATGGAAAAGAGATGTGCTATCTCACCTTAACACTACATGTAGCAATTAATCTACTTCAGAATGAGTGCAGTATCTAACAGGGAAGCCATTGAGCAGGTGTCCTTTAACTATATAATTAATCACTGGTGAAGTCCAATTGCATTTTGCCATTGAAAAATCATATTGATACATCACCATTTCAAGAAAGAAAAATTACTTCATTATAGTGTTCCCTGTGTCAAATGTGCCATTTGTCCAGGACGGTTAAGAGATGTGCCATCTCACCTTAACACTACATGTAGCAATTAATCTACTTCAAAATGAGTACAGTATCTAACAGGGAAGCCATTGAGCAAGTGTCCTTTAACTATATAATTAATCACTGGTGAAGTCCAATTGCATTTTGCCATTGAAAAATCATATTGATAATGATACATCACCATTTCAAGAAAGAAAAATTACTTCATTATAGTGTTACCTGTGTCAAATGTGCCATTTGTCCAGGACGGTTAAGAGATGTGCCATCTCACCTTAACACTACATGTAGCAATTAATCTACTTCAAAATGAGTACAGTATCTAACAGGGAAGCCATTGAGCAAGTGTCATTTAACTATATAATTAATCACTGGTGAAGTCCAATTGCATTTTGCTGTTGAAAAATCATATCGATACATGGCCATTTCAAGAAAGAAAAATTACTTCATTATAGTGTTACCTGTGTCAAATGTGCCATTTGTCCAGGACGGTTAAGAGATGTGCCATCTCACCTTAACACTACATGTAGCAATTAATCTACTTTGAAAGGAATACAGTATCTGACTGGGAAGCACATTGAGCAAGTGCCTTTCAACTATATAATTAATCACTGGTGAAGTCCAATTGCATTTTGCCATTGAAAAATCATGACGATACATGGCCATTTCAAGAAAGAAAAATTACTTCATTATAGTGTTACCTGTGTCAAATGCGCCATTTGTCCAGGATGGATAAGAGATGCGCCATCTCACCTTAACACTACATGTAGCAATTATTCTACTTCAAAATGAGATTCTATCAGGTGTGGCAATAAGCAATTTATTAAGTTTATTTTATCTTTTGACATGGTTGAGAAATAGAATTATGTTTGGCAATTTTATAATGTGAACATTATATAATAATCAATATTTTTGCTCTTAAATATTAATACTCAGGACTCCCCCTGTCTGAGCTGGTGCTTCATGAATATTTTTTGCCAACTCTAATTTCTAATTTTATATTTGATTTTTAACCATTAAACCTGCAATGTTTCCAAATATACAGTACCTTATTTTATTGTTTTATTCTGTCTCATGCCAGGCAATTTTGATTTTATTTGCCAGGGGATCTTATGCCAGGTAATATTACCTATCAATGGCCAATGGGAGCCAGGTCCAGCTGTGTAGTGTATACTGTATATCATCTTACACAGAGTATTAATAAAAGCAATTCCACCGTTCAGTATTAATCAATATAAAAACATTACCGTTTGCCATTGAAATTTAATAAAATATTGTTGTCTGTGTTCTTGTGCATATTAATTTGAATAGAATGCACAAAATCCTCTATTCCTATATGTATATGATATAGTCGAGGTTGGGCTTTGAACAGCCATTTCCGCTTTTCCAACTCGGGTTCTAAAATACTTGTCCTAAGCTTATAATTGAAATGAAAACAGTAAACGCAAGATAAAATAGTCAGACAAAGCTGCTTGTATATCAAAACGCGCGCAAGTTTTTTTTATAACTGAGACTGCAAATTCACAATGTAGAGCATAGCCTCAGCGTCAATGTTAAAGCGGTGGCGGTCATATTATATGACAATCGCAGACAACAATCATTACATTATAATTCTAGCATTATTATAATAACTCACCTTGTTCCTTTCGACGTACGTTTATCACATCTTTGAAGTTACAAGCGAACTAGTATAAACCACTTCGTCTACTTCTCTATCAAAGCGGAATTCTTAGTATTGACGCTGTGAACCACACGTTTTGAATTGCATAATTTGGCGGCCAGACCGTTGGCGTTGTTATTCAAATACAAACTGCAACCATGCTCGCTTCTCCTCACTCTGTTTTAAAGCCATCTTTATGGTTGAAATATGAAAATACTAAAGCCATTTTAATCAGTTTGTATCGCTTCCATCGCACTGACACATGAAAGGAACCCCTCGCATCACAATTGCACATATATTCCCATACAAACACACAAACGACCACAAACTAATGCCACTATCGATTGCAAGAAGAAGGTATTAGATTTCACAGCGGCACTCTCCTCATTGGTTGAAAACTCAAAAGCTCGATCATGCGGCGCGCGAATATTCAAATATTTCGGCTTCATGGTGTGTTACTGTGTTATGTTATAATATTTGAAATGCAATATTTTGACGTCCAATTTTGATTGCTTGTGCTGCTCGCATACTTTTAACTTTCAGTTTCCAATCTGTATGAAATGCATAACAACGCACATGACACATGACTATTTCTGTTA